GGCCGCTGTTCTTCAGCAGGATGCAAATGAGGCTGCGGTAGTCAGGAATATTCTTGACGGACTCCATCCTCAGGAGCGGAATCGCCTAGTTTTCTGCGATGCCCCGACAACCTATGCGGAATTAGATAAAATGTGCATATATGCACACGGTATTCTGCGTAATGACCAGAGTCATACCTCCCAAACTAGGACTCCATCGAACTAGCCGACACATTCCGATCGGCACGTGTCCGCTGCGCCTGTTTCGGCCCGTCCGAGGACCGTCTGCTATCGGTGCAATAAACCCGGTCACACTCGCAAGGACTGTTATGTCCGGTTACCCACCTCAGCTATTGAGAGTGCTCGACCGCAGCCAAATACTCTTTGACTAGCACGTAACCCAGCCCCTCCTCGTGGGAATCGCCCATCTCGAAGTCCCACCTTGTTCAGCCACTCTATTTCCAACTCGCATAATCAACGAATACAGGGGGTTCTACAATATAGTTTACCCTGTCTTCAGGTGGAGCTCGCATTTGGACCCGTTTGTGCTCTCTTAGACTCTGGGGCTGTCCGTTCTTTGATGTCCGACGTTGCCTATAACTCCCTTATGAAAGCACTCCCTTCGCTGCACACTTATCCCGTGACGGTAAAGTGTGTTACTGCCTCTGCTCAGACTTTCCCAGTTCATACTGCAGTCAAGTGTAAGATCCGGATTGATCGTTATACATGGAAAGTCCCATTTTACGTTGTTCCCGGCTTGATTCAGCCCGTCATTTTGGGTGCTGATTTTTTAGGGAAAACGGGTTTGATGATTGATGTTCAGCAGGGGCACGCGTTTTTTAGATTCGATCCCACTAACAGGTTGCATTTACTGGGGCGAAGTCCTCCCGACGATAAGTCGTGGGTGTGTGCGGCCACGTCAGCTAACCCGGATCTGTCACATTTGGAGGACAATTACTCTACCCTCCTGCGCTCCCTCATCGACGACTTTCCTGATGTCTTAACCCCAAGATTGGGGCTCACTACACTCTTGCAATATGACATTGAGTTACTTGATCCATCCCCTGTCAAGATTCCTCCCTACCGGCTCATGCCCCCAAAAATGGACATATTACGACAGCATATCCGTCTTATGCTCGATGAAGGCATTATACAACCTTCCACTTCACCTTATTCCAGCCCTATATTCTTGGTGCCTAAAGGGCAAGATGGGTTTCGTCCGGTTATTGATTATCGGGCTCTGAACAAGAAGATCAAAATTGAATCGGTCCCATTGCCAGACATCCATTCATGTTTTCACTGGTTTAAGACCGCCAAAGTGTTTACGTCGCTTGACCTCAATTCGGCGTATCACCAGATTGGGTTAACTGACCGGTCGAAACCCCTGACTGCGTTCGCCACCGACTGGAATTTGTACGAGTACACTAGGGTACCATTCGGGTTGGCAACTGGAGCCCAGGTGTTGACCCGTTTGTTGGACAAAGTGTTTTCCGACTTAAAATTCAACTTCGTATTTCACTATCTTGACGATCTGGTCGTCTACAGTGATTCGTTTGAAGAACACGTACTTCATCTGCGTGAGGTTTTTCTCAGATTGCGCAACGCAGGATTAACCGTTAATCCCGCAAAGGTTAGATTCGCCACGCCTCACCTGTCTTTCCTGGGGCACATCGTGGGACCCTCCGGTATTTCTGTTGACCCAAGCAGAACCGACGCCATTAGAAGGTTCCCGCCTCCCAGGGACGTTAAAGGGGTCGCCAGGTTTATTGGCATGGTGAATTTTTTTCACAAATTCATTCCTCATTTCGCCGAGCGCGCCGCCCCCCTTAACCTACTCAGAAAGAAAGACGTCAAATTTCAGTGGGGGCCTGATCAGATACGAGCATTTCAGGATTTGAAGCTCGCCATTACCAACCCCCCGGTCCTCCGCACTGCCGACTTCTCCCGCCGGTTCACGCTCCAGACTGATGCTAGTTCGGTGGCGGTCGCGGCGGTGCTGTTACAGCAGTTTGATGGTGAGCTCCAGCCTATTGCTTACGCCTCACGCACATTATCCCACCCTGAGAGAAAATTTTCAACGTACGAACTCGAGTGCTTAGCAGTCCTCTTTGGCTTGGAGAAATTTAGGCCGTACCTTGAACACCTCGAGTTCGATCTGCAGACCGACAATCAGGCTCTCACGTGGTGTCTCTCCCATCCCCGCCAACTCGGGAGAATTGGTCGTTGGGTTGTGAGATTGTCCTCATTCAAATTTAATGTGCAGCACATTAGGGGAACCCAAAATGTCATCGCAGATGCTCTCTCGCGCATGTATGACCCCAGCGCCGAAAATCCTGTATGTTCGCTACTTTTGGATTTCCCTGTCCTATTCGAGGATATTGCCACGCACCAGAGGAAGGACCCAGAAATTTGTCCCATTATGGACCAGTTGTCACTGGGGCAAGAAGTGCCCGGATACTCTCTACTTAGGAGCGTACTTTATTGCAAGGCTCGTTTTGACGGTCGGCCTAAGATCGTCATCCCCCAGGCCTTAATTCCGGCCCTGTTTAGTTATTTTCATGACTCGCCCTGTGGGGGCCACCTAGGGGTGCGAAAAACGCTATGGAAAATTCGCCAATCTTTCATATGGAAGGGCATGGATGCGGATATCTCCGCTAGAGTACGGGCTTGCAAGCTCTGCGGGCTCAGTAAGCCCGCCCAGAACGCCCGTTATGGTATGCTGGCCTCTGACGTGGCTACTCGCCCACTGGAGAAGTTGTTTGTAGATTTCGTGGGGAAGTTCCCCCGGTCAAAGGCAGGTAACACCTACGCACTAGTCTGTGTGGACGCTTTTACCAAGTTTGTTTGGATTTTCCCGGTCCGGGAAGCGTCCACCGCCACGACTATTCGGGTGTTACTGAACATCTTTTCCACATTTGGGATTCCCGAGATCCTCGTATCCGATAATGCGACGCAGTTCACATCTCGCAACTTTCGCAATTTCTGTTTTGCCCGAGGCATCAGGCATGTCACCACCACACCGTACTATCCTCAGCCCTCCCATGCCGAGAGGTTCAACCGGAATTTACGCGCTGCGTTAATTGCTTACCACCATCAAGACCATTCCCGTTGGGACGAGAACCTCTCGTGGCTCCAGTTTGCATTTAATTCGGCTCGCCACGAGTCCCATAAGACCACTCCATTCAGCTTGATGTTTTCCTTTACGCCAAACTCACCCCTTTCCAACCTCTGGTCCATCAAGGAGTTACTTCCTGAAACCCCTGATTTCCGCTCCATCCAGGAACGCTGGGAGGCAGCGCGAAGAAATCTCCGACTCGCGCACGCTGCCGTGCGCAGGACCTACGACCGAGGCCGCCAACCTCCTCCTTTTCACGTTGGAAGCAGGGTTTGGCTCAAGAATTACCCCCTCAGTAAGGCGTCCCAACACGTGGCGGCCAAACTTTGTCCCAGATATAGGGGACCCTTTACCGTTCTCAAGTTTACCTCTCCGGTTTCCGTTCAGCTCACCGACTCTGACGGCGGCAGCAGGATCCGCGCTCACGTCTCACAGTTGAAAGCTGCGTGAGTGGCCGACTAATAGGTTTGTAAATTCAAATGTGATATGATTTTGGTAATTTATGCTAGCGTGGTGCTTTACTGTATACTTATGCACCACGCTAGCATAAAGGCACTTTGTATAAGCGCCTTGGGATTCCTAGGTTCCCTTATATAAGTGGAACATTAAACACATCAATATATTTTCTTGTATGTGGGCCTTGGAGCCATTCTATGTAAAGGGCCCCTTGCGCTTAGTGCCTGGAGGTACTTTCTTTTTCTAGTCCGATGTTTCGGATGTATGTATGTATATATATATGGGCCCTTAGAGCACTCTGCTATATTATGATATTGTTGCATTGCCGCCGGCATGCTTAGGTGTAGTCATGACTATGTGTGTGTACTTTGGTATGAGTGTGTGTGTGTGGGGATCCCCATCAACTGAGGTTATAACAATACGTTATGTGTGTTACTGTACAGCTCGGTAGTGTAACCAGAGCCTATGAATTGCAATTGTCGCATCGGTGCTGTCATCTTGATTGTGTTTGTGTTTTTCACGTGCCCCAACTCATATTGCAGTTTGACCCTTAGTTCGGACGGGCTGCGCTGTCCCTTCCCGTGCTACCATCTTTCCAGTGCCTTACGCCGAAGGGTGGAAACCATCCACCGTCCCTACGACCAAGTGCGAAGCACGGTCAAGTACCTGATAAGACCAGCACCCGTACCCCCCCCCCGGGGTGTTTACTGGAGGCTTACTGCATCATCAGGCATATTATGGACGTGACAACGGGACACTTATTAAGTAGCAACCAGTTTGTGGGGTGAGATGCCTGGGCTCTTATCCCTGTCTGCGCATGTGCCCCACTGATGGTTCGGGTGAGCTGCGCGTCCAGCACCACATAGTGAAGTGTAGATGGGTGCTCTCGCAGCCAGCGCAAGCACTTAACATCGAGACTGGCAGCAGGTAAGCTGCAACTCTGATACGATGGCCTGGCACTCCGTTTCGTCAACACGCAGGAGCCCCAGTAAATGGAATCACCCACGCCGTCTCCTTCGGGGGGGGAGGACTGTAACGGCAGCAACCACCGCCAGGTCCCTCAACCAGACCCCCTTCTTTCCTTTCCCCCCTCTCCACATGCCCTACGCTTGCGCCCTTCATCCTTTCACCAGGGACTGAGAGGCTCGTCTGAACACTGGAGGGCCATTCTGCTGCACGCCGTGGAAGAGTCTGGTCTCGACCCCAAATTATTTTTTGGAATTTTGGTTTACTAAATTAACGGCGGAGTTGGTGGACGCTTGGACGTTGTGCCGTCCTTATCTGGGCAGTTTGTATTTTTCTAATCAATTATATAATTATATTATTATATTATTATATTCATTTGGTGTCTGTACTGTTAATATAGTTTCCTATCCCAAACCACTTTTCGGTCCTTGGGCTTTGGTACGTTTCAACATCAATTGTCCTGCTGCTACAGAAAAGAATCCCGTTGTGAAAATGAAGTATGAAAGCCTTGTGCTTAATTAATCACCACGTCATGAAGATGTATGGGGAAGTGAAAATATATCTTCATTATTCGTGACCTCGGCATAGATGGAGGTGAGTGGTAAGTTTCACGCCTCAGCAGCATTAGCCCCGGTGTAAAAACTCGCAGTACTCATTGGATAGGAGGCTTTGTGGACACCAGAGCCTGTCTGGACGCTAGAGAAATCTCTTGCCTCTGCTGGGAATGTAACTCCAGCCGTCCAGCACGTAGCCCGTCACTGTAACAAGCTATGCCGGCCTCTCATTTTGAAAACTATCCCTACCATATTAGATTATGCTGGCAGGAAAATGAATTTCTATAAAATGTATCCATTTTTCACATTGAGATAAGTGCTATAGTTCAGTATTAAAGCACTAAAATCCTTTAAAATTGAGTAAGACGTTATATTTTTGGAGTGGTGTGAGCATGGGGCACGCGGTAGCGCACTATGCTACCAGTTGGAAAGTCACGGGTTCGATTCCCGTTGATGCCACTGGATTTTTAAATTGACCTAATCTTTCCAGCAGCACTATGACCCTGGGATCGACTCAGCGTCTAATAGAAATCAGTACCACGAATCTTCCTTAGGAGTAAAGGGCAGCCGGTGCGTAAGGCTGACAACCTCACCGCCATCTGTGAACCGAGTGCCTAGAAAATGTGGGAGCCTCGACGTCTCACATCCCTATGGGCCTTCACCGCGTCCTACTGGGATAGCTTTACTTTTTGATGGTGGGAGTGTTGTGTGTTGCTTGATACATTCACTTACCTGTTTCTGTGCATTTTAATAATGGATTTCTTGTTGATTGGAGTAGCTGGCCGGGTGACTCGGGGATTTGTTGATCACTTAATACTTATAATTGGCTTCTTTGTTTACATTGCAACCTCACATGTATATCTCCAGTTCATGGAGTCATGTGGTTGTACCGGCAACTTGGTGAAACATTTTTCATGTGTTATCGGTGTATGGTGTTTAGTATGCGGTTGTTGTCGGCAATCCTATGGGGTTTATATACCTGGTTATGTAACTATATCCAAATTGTGTCACACACTAACAACAAAACAGAGGATAGTAGACATGACTCAAAACTATCCACACGTTGTCTACGAAAGAATGTATACAACACAATTAGAATATTTCAATATTAAGAAACTCCATAATACGTAAATTCGGCAAAAATCCGGTTGGTAACTCACAGCAAACATTACGTCTCCGCTACAAAGACCAACCGGCTACTGCTGTTAAGGAGACAGTCGCTGTCTACTGTGATAACCATAAGAAATAAACTCCTGCAATACAGACTTCTGTCACAGCGTGAGGCATAGATACAGTAGTTGTTTCACTCACTTCAGTAGCATTGTTCCCATAGTCATCGCCCTGAATGCAGCAGGTTGGATTGTGAAAGTCTCCAGGGCCGTAGGGACAGCCGGATACACGAAGTCAGCCGTGTAGGCCCTGCTGTTGCCTGTTCCTGTGACGTCGCCTGAATTAGCGGACATGTGGTTCATAACCACATCAACGTAGATCCTGAAACGTAGGAACATCAGACCCAGGATGTGATACTGTGCTGCCTGTCAGTGCTACCGAACACCTCATGGGGCAAGGATAGACGGAGACGGAGCAAGGGTGGAATGATGATTAGCAGGGGATAATCGAAGCAACTTGTGGCAAAATCTGTTCGTCTGTCAATTCGTTCACAAGGGATCTCACATATATTCATCTAGGACTGAACTCTTGGCTTCACAGTCAGAAGCCAATGTCTAAACATCCGAGCCATGGCACTGTCAAAATTGCTGTTTGCCTGACTATATAGCTAACTGACTGGTTAGCAAACGAATTGATGTATTGACGGGGTGTGTAATTATCTTTACTAATGATCGGGTTACGAAGCTACTGATTAAACATCAAATTATATAAGTAAATAAATGAACAAAGGAAAGTTGTTGCTGTGCTTAACTAAGTAAACACAATGCCGTGAAGGTGAATGAGGGAGTGGATGTAGAGATCCAGATATTCTTGACGTCGGCAATAGAAGCTTCACGTCCAGGCAGCTTTATAGCTGGAGGGGGGGGGAAGTCCGCAGTACCCACCGGACAGGATGCTGGGTGGGACCCAAAACCGGTCTGGAAGATGTGGAGAGAAGAAAAGCCTTGCTCCTACCGGCACTCGAACTCCAGCCCATCGTCCATACAGCCGGTAAGCAGCGCACAGATTAAGATATTTACTTTCAAGAAGTAATGAACAAACTAAACATTTAATAATATAGTCCATACAGCCACGTCCATGTGTCTGTCCCATCTTGTTTCTGTCTGAATGCGGGGATTACAGTCTGCCCCACAAGAACTGTGTTCTGAATGCGATGTGTTTTCGAGTGCAGGTACTCAAGACGTTAGAAGTAGGTAACCACCATGAACAACCGAGATAGTTTCTGAAATTACGCTACAGATTTGTATCCACGGACACTACAGTACGTATATACATGCTTTACTGGTGCGTTATTGGCACTGGCAACAGCTTACTTGATCTTGACATTCCATTACCTGACTTTGACAACAAGTTACCAAACACAAGAATCCTCCATTACCTGTCTTCGGCAACAAATTACCGGACACAAGAAACCTCCGTTACCTGACAATGAAGTGATTACATCTGTGAACCATGGACCTGAAGGCCACCTCATCCCCAGAACGACTGGTGATTCTGTAGGAGATTGGTTGGTACCTGTCATACCAGGGGCGGTTCGTGACGTTTAGTATGATGACTTCGTTAATTGGAGATACCTGAAATCATTTCCAGGAATATTCAAACTATTTCATTTTATAGCCGTCAGTCATTTTGTGCCGCAATTACCGAGCTTTGTGTCGCTGTCCTCGGAAATACGTGAGGCACTTCGTGTAGCAATGTGAACACACTCTATACTGTGTCATTTTCACTTTTGAGAATTGTCAACCGAATTATTTTAAATGTAGAACAATTGGTTCGTTACTTAACAGCGCCTAAGTATAGAGCCTACAATATAGTTCCTTCTCGTCCTATGTAAAATTGTTAAAATACTGCATTTAATATTCATGTATTCCGCCAAAGAAATTCTACTCAGTAAATGACGTATGTTGTAGACAACTGATAGAAACAGTGTTATTGATAGTCAGGAACCTGACAGTTCATTGCCACGTCTGTAACAGCCCGCCGCTGGTCCCTACCCTGAGCCATTTTAATTCATTTGACACACTCTCGTCCTATTACTTTAAGAACCATTTTAATATTATTGTCAAATTTATACACGTTTCCACAAACTTATTCCTCACATTCAGGTATCATGACGAAAATTCTGTGCGCGTTTTTCATCTTCCCCATTCCTGCTACACGTCTTGTAGATATCATCTTAACTGATTTTACCATTCTAATATCTGGCGAGGAGTACAAATTACGAAGCTCCTCATGCACTTTTCTTCACCCTCCTGTCACTTCCTCCCCCTCAGGAACAAAAGTCCACCCATAACCCTCTTTTTGTACAATTTCCTCCCTTAATAGGGTACACTTAAAGGTAAACATAAACAGGAAACTCGTACAATCGAGTGAGGAAGCCAGAGACGATTCACGCCCGTGTAGAACAGTATGAAGTTTCTTACAGTGTAGCCAACTGAGTGCCGGGGTGGAGATGAAGCCCCCAACTTAATGACCGAGAATATGATAATGTGCTGCCTGGTAGGAGCTATTAAAACCTCGCGGAACGGTGCTAGATCAGTATAGGACAATGGTGGAATGATTATTAGCAGGGAAACCTGAATAAATATGGAGATAACCGTGGTATAGTGACACTTCCATGTTCCTGTTGATTGCATTGGAATAAAGAGCACGAAGCTTTTCAACATTATGGGTTAAGAACTCTGTTGTTCTGAATTGTTATTAATACTAACGAATGTGACCAAGGTCAGGGCTGCCAATACCTGCACTCCAGCGTAGCCTTGGGGGGCCAAGAACTTCTCACATTCTGCTGCTATATCGTCAAATTTCCACTCGAAGATATGAACGATAGCACTTCTGTCCGACGCGACGTTTGGGTCCTTCTGTCCGCCCGCTGCACAAAGCAGCGCCACCAACACGCAGGAGAGTAGCAGCATCGCGACTGCCTGCCGTCAGGACGCGTGGGTCCCCGTAATATAGGCGATAGCTGATTGTTACGCAACGCATCTGTGTTGTGTTTGTACTGGACTGTAGCGCACTGTGTCTCCTGGGACTGCTCTGAATTTTGGACGAACTCTTGTAGGGCCACAGATGTCTCCACTGTTGTCTGACTCCTGCCTCTGGCGTCACACAGTGTTATGCCAGACGAGCCAATCCTAGTTTTTGCTGTACACACTTCAACGCACTGATTCTGAACGGGCAGGTAACCAAAGGACCACCATATTGATCGCCTTTTTCTTTCTTCTAGCACTGTCTCTGCTTAATACTGGCCGGCTTATGTAGGGGTTCTCTCTTCCCTCAATATGTGTTTGCCGACGTCTCGGGGTCGTGATTTTGATTCTCACCGCAAGAAGAAAATATAATTTAAATACAGCACTGGGGTCGACACAGCCTCTAGCATTAGGTGCATTAGGCTGACACCCTTCCGCCATCTATGAGCCGATTGTCTAGAGAAAATGCGGGAGCCTCGACGTCTCACAACCCTATGGACCTCCACGGCCTGTCACATGGATAGCTTCTAGATATTTAAAAGTGACTCAACGACTTACGTCGCTACCTGACGATGAAGCACCTCAAAAGGTTTCAGTTGCAGTACAGATGACAATATGGAGACGATACGCCCATTGCTTAACAAGTAGGAGGTGGAGGAATGGAAGAGCAGATCTTACCCTTCCAAGTCCCTCCCAGTTCATGATTAAGTGATCAGAATTTTCTCTCATGCTCTAGAGTCTAGAGCCTGGGATGCTGAGACTGGTGATAAATAGACTGCAGTATAAGCAGGAAGGCCGTGGAGCAGGGGTTCGATTTCCGGTAGAGAAAAGAGATTTGTCTCTTCTCCACAATGTTCAGATCGGCTCTTTGGCCCACTCAACCTCTTATCGGATGGGTACCGGGGGCTCCTTCCACCACAGAGTAACACAGCTGAGACGTAAAACTAACCACTGGGCTTTATCTCGTGCTGAGCTCCACTCTCCAGTACATTTGTCTTGGCGCTTACTTAACTAAGATAAGTTATAACTTTAACTTTAGCCCATCAGTCTAAGGCATGCACTGCCTTCGCTCGCTCTGAAGCAGGGATCGTAGGTTCCAATCCCACTTATGGCATGGATCTTTGGTGTTTGTGTATGTCAGTTTTCTGTGTTTGTATACAGGTAGAGAGGCCTTGCGATGAGCTGATCACCCGCCAAAGGAGTCATACAGAATGTCTGAGATCTAGTAAACCGAAGTGAAAGGGAGAGTTTCTTGGAGATAGGCCAAGGCCCAAATTGGGTCTGTAGCGCCAAAGGGGAAAAATGATTTTAACTTTACCATATGTGTGATATTGTTTTCTTAGGCAGTGAAAACGAATATTAAAGTCTTCCCATGTGTGACGCCGTTTAATCTGGTAGATATTTAATATTCTAGAGAAACTTCTTGCCCCCTTCTTGTCTTAATATTCACTCTCCTAATCTAAAGCTGGAAGCAGCAGACTCCTCCAAAAAGGCTGGAAATTTATCTACCAGAATGCACGGTGCCATATTTCAGGGCACAGTAATCTCCAGATAGTAAATAAAGAAGCTCAGGAGCAAACAACACTTCTAGCGGTTGGTTTTATTTATTTATTTATGGGTTGATTAGCGACGCTGTCATTAGCTCAGGTTACATATTGTCGAATGACAGGATGGCTAATGAATAGTGAATGATAAAGCATTCATTCATGTATTCATTCATCAATGACCCTCCAGCCCTTTGTTGGGCCCTGGCCTCGTCTTCAGTTTCGTAATCATTTTATTAAACACTTAGTAGGAATCCTTGGAGGAGTGATTAGCCCGTCGCAAGGCCAGTACTTACACACAGGACAACACAAACAGAATAAAAACACACAGACATCCACACTTTGATTTGAGTGGGATTCAAACCCATGATCCCAGTGTTCGATCGAGCAAAGACAGTTCATGCCTTAGACTGCGCTGCTACTGTGATCGGCGAATTGTGAAATATACAGAAGGAAATTGTCCTGGACCAATTTTAGGTATTGTCACGATCTTTGATGAAGGGACTGAAACAAGTTGTTGAGCACCTCAAGTCAGGTAGCGGGAATACGAATACGGGACCTCACCAATGCGAAGCTGTCTGCAGGTTGTGAAGAGAGTTTGGGTGGTTTGAAACATTACATTAATTGATGCTGTGTATGTTGCTGCTCGACTGGGCTGGTTACACAGGTGCTGCAGCTGTAGGCAGCTGAGTCAATACAGATGCATACAGCACACAGGGCCTGGGTCATGTGTTTTGTCCCATAATATTGTCTGGAGTATGAAATGTGTCAAAATAGTACCTAAGTGTTGTTCTCTAATAAACACATAATGAACTAAATGTGAATTAATTTTGTGAAATTAGTATTGTTGTATTATCTTCACATGAAATCCTGCTACACTACATGATGTAACTTTCCTGAAGACATTGCTCTTGGTCTTATCACTTGAAGACTTTGTATGGTTGCTTTGGAATTATTACTATGTAAATGTGTCACGGTTTCAAATAAACAGCTGTTTTTCTTGACTTCAATATTTTCCTAAATAAATTATGTTACACCGTAATCAAGACTAACTGAAAGAATTGGAAATTTTTTATTGTGAGAGAAATCAAAGCAGGAAAGATATAAACAAGGTGTAAATGTGCATGTGGTGTAACAGTTCTGGCATATTCACTCTCTTTGGTGTGTCTCAGAACTGACTAAGTTTAAATTTTAATGAAATAATGGTTTTAGCAGTACACTTAATTATATCTTAATTAAATAAATATTTGCATGATGTAGACCTAAAAGTTCACGTGGCAAAAAGTTGTGTTTAATTATCTCAAACCTCTTACTTATAGAAAAATATTTTATAATAATTTATTAATTTACTTGAGACATGCACAATGAAAATTGCATGTAAGTCTTGGTAATTAAAATTGTCTGAAATAAATTTAAACCGAAATTACCTGTTGCTGTTACATGTGTAAATAGAAATGGAGCTGTTTTAACAGGCTCTTTACGTGGACTTGGTGATCTAAAAAGAAAAGTGTTTATTAAGTACAAGAGGAGCACTTGTGGGAAAGGAAACATGAAGAGGATCTTATCATAAGAAAACCCATTCATGTGTAACTGTCACTGGATGAGCATGCAATTCGTATGGTACACTGTCTTTTAAGGAATTTAACTTCAAGGAAAATATGCCTGTAAAGTAACGTATTTTCATTACAATTAAAATGTAAAATTAGGGCATTGAACAGCCTTCCTCTGGATAAAGATAGTTTTATATTTCTGTATTCATAGGAATATGAAGCCCTTACATCAGTAAATAACAATGCATTAATGTTCTGTATACATGTTAATTCAACATTGAGATAAGAGGTAAAACTGCCCAAATTGACAAGAGGAGAAACAGGAAAATTCCACTATAACAGTCTTTAACTGTTGTCCACATAAACAGTTATATGAATCAGTCACCATTGATAACAGAATACATATATGATGCCCCGAGAATAGTTGTTTTCCGAATAATGTTCATTTTTCAAACCATATATAATTTGAAGATTATTGTACCAATTCACAATAAGGGTGATAAACTGGCTGTAGTAAATATAGGGGGATATCACTGCTATCAACTTCATACAAAATTGTATCCAATATTCTTCTCTCAAGGTTAAAACCATATATAGATGAAATTATTGGGGATCATCAGTGTGGGTTTTGACGTAACAGATCAACTACAGATCAGATCTTTTGCGTTCGTCAGATATTGGAGAAAAAAATGGGAGTACAATGAGACAGTGTATAAGCTATTCATAGACTTCAAAAAAGCTTATGATTCATTTAGGAGGGAAGTATTCTACAATATTCTGAAATAATATACTGCACGAGGCTCTACTGTCATAAGTTAGAAGATCACAATAAGATTCCATCACTATGATAACCTCAAATAAGTTAGAAATATTAATAGCAACAAATAATTTCTTTTAATGTCGCACAGAAGTAGTTGCACAGAAGTAAAATATTATTGTAATTTAATGTTACAGGCACGAATAAAAAGCGTGGTTTAACTTTGAAAAGAGTAAGAGTACAAGACTGCAAACTTCAAGTAATTAACTCCATCCAGCTGAGCCTTTCCTGAGAAGCTGCCATTCGGTCAGTTATTTAAGAATTTTCCGACACTTCATCAAAAACTAATACTCATTATTGTGTTTACAAGAGCCATCCACTGTTCCCTAACCTTAGCCAGATCAGCCCAATCCATACCATTCCATCCCATCCTATCTCTAAGATCCATTTTAATGTTGTCCACCCACCTATGCCTTGGTCTCTTCAATGGTCCCTTTCTGTCTGTCTTTCCCACAAATACCCTATATGCATTTCTCTTCTCCCCCATTCGTGCTGCATGCCCCGTCCATCTCATAATTCTTGATTTGATCATTCTAATCATACTTGGTGAAGCATACAAGTTTTGAAGCTCCTCATAATATACAGTGAAGTAAAAAGTAAAACTTGTCCCTCTGCTTAACTAATTAAACACTGTGCCATGAAGGCATATGGGGGAGTGGACATAAAGGTCCACATTCTCTTGACCTCAGCACTAGCTGGAGATGAATGGTCTGCTTTACCCCCAGGGAAAGAGACCCACGGTATCAGTTGGCTAGGAGGTTGGGTGGACCCCAGAGCTGGTCTGGACGATGTTGAGAAGAGAAAATACTTGAACCTACTTGAAGTCAAACTCCGACCCCGTGGTTGTCTAGCCTGCAGCCAGTCGTTATACCAGCTTTGCTATCCCAGTTTACCCTCATGCAGTTTACTATGAACTACTGCTTCATCTCTCTTTGGTTCAAATATTCTTTTCAGCACACTGTTCTCATGCACTCCATGTTTTATTATTCCCCACTTCNGCTTAACTAATTAAACACTGTGCCATGAAGGCATATGGGGGAGTGGACATAA